ATGCATTGATGACGTCTTCAGGCATGGTTTTGATGAGGTTGTAACATGGTAGAAAGCTTATAAACATAACATTTCCTCTTTAAAGCAGACCTATATAGACCCTGTAGTCACGTGACCACTTTTGTTTTGGCCGCCATACTGACAGCCCTGATGACAGTAACTGGCCAGATTTGTCTGCAGGCTCCATCCTCAATGTCCTGGTTCCAGATGGGGGTGAGCAAGACCAGTGTGCAAGTGGACTGGGTCCAAACGGTTCCATGCTGTAGTCTGCGCGCAGGTTCCGTGCGGGGACAGTGAAAATGTGTTGTGGACTTGTCTAGGCATGCTGCTCCGGGCCTAGGCACCTAACATCACTCCCCGCTCAAGCTCCTCTGAGCTTGACCTGAACCAGAACTGCTCCTGCTGGGTCAGGACTCTGGTTTGGATCTAGTCCGACTGTAGCATTTCTTACACTAGGCTAAATACAGTTAATTTTATAAGTTGAATCAACTGAATAGGGCCTATTCAGTTTAGGCTGTGTGTGGCATACACCATGGTGTCTTTTTTCTTTTTTCACATTTGAGTCTGTATCACTCAACAATTCGGAGATGAGGATCTCCCGAATATTGACGGGTATTTCGCACACTGATGGCAGCTATCCACTTGTCTCGTCTGTCAGCTTCAACCGGGATCCGATACAACTGATACCATGTGTCTTTATCTCTCTGCTGATTACAGCTCTGTGCGCAACACTTTCCCGGCATGTGTCTTAAAGTGAAAATTAAAGGAATAACGTGAAAATGTGCTAACTTTACAATGGCGGTCTATTGTGTCCACTTCCGAAAGTGAATCAGGGCAAGGCTGTGACGTCACATGCTTGGTCTCTACACTACAAAATTGACTTTTTAGGGCTTTTGACCATGTTATAGTTGTTGCTCCTCACCATTTACTCACCCGAAGTTGTATTTGGAGTGATTCCTGCATGTCTGGGCAATTTGTAATCACTTGTTTTCAAGATGCTATTTTGCAGATCAACTTCTGTTTTAATGTTTAAAGCAGAACCAAGTAAGTCTATGAACATTATGAGTGTTTCTATTGCTTGAAAATACAAACATTATCTCTATGGCTAGGGTTGCCTCTCCACAGATCTGACCTGTAATGTAGCCTGCAGTTGTCTCCCTTGCGATCATTACTCAAACATGTGTGAACAAAACAACACACAACTCCAGGTATGTTTTTAATGAGGTAACAACATTTTAACATAGCTTAGATGGCTTTTTGTAATATAGGACCTTTACTCTAAATCTTACTTAAAAATGAAAAAAAAAAAAAAAAAAAAAACATGCCATAGATTCCATAGTTGTAGCCCAGATTGGTTTGGCACTGACAGGTAAAGAGGTGCACACGCTCTCGGCACACACACGTTTAATCCTGTGCACCAAATAGAGGAGAGAGATTTCATTACGTCGGGGTTTCGAGGAGGCCAGGCACGACAGAAATCTAGAGCCTAATCCTCCATCTCTGTCTGGCCCTGTGTGACTGCAGTCTGCTGTACTGTACCTCCCGCTGCATGTACGGAGATGGAAATATATAGCATGCAACCAGAAATCCGATTTAGTCTTGTTTATATTTATATGAGTTGGAGAAGCTGAGGTTGCAATCCAGATATGAATTAAAGAACCCATATTACACTTTTACACTTTCATATCTATGTTTTAATGTAGTTTCCTCATCAAAAACACAGTTGGAGTTATTTCATGTTTAAAACACAAACCCTGCATATTTAGACTGAGTTCTTCTCTCAAACGGAAAATGTGGTAGTACAAGAATTATTTCATCTTTCCTCTTGTATACGTAGAGCTGAGATATATTTTTATTATTTCATTTTAATACTTAATTTTTACTTGTATGCATTTATATATTTATGCCTTATTTGACACCAGCCTCGTGCTACTTTTTGCTACTTATTTAGAATGTATTATTCCATTTATATTTTTTCTCTTTGTAATTATAAGATGTGTAAGCTACTGTGTCCAAATAATTTCCTTTGTGGATCAAATCTAAGTCTAAGAATTGTTACACTGTGTTTTGAAAATCAATACACCTTCACTAGAATAATTTAGATAATTTCAGCCCTGATATTTCCTATCTCTATTGAAGTAAAGGTAAAAGGTAGCTGTTAACTTGAAAACATGACATTTATGACATCACAACGTGGAAGAGAGAATTTTGAGTTTTGAAAATGTAGGCATTACTCAAACATGTGTGAATGAAACAGACCATTTTTGGTCTAAAAAGTTCTATACTATAGCTTTAACTAAAGAAAATTAAGAAGTATTTATTCTTGTTTACAGGAACCATGAAGATTCACTCAAAAAATACATGTACATCTTTGCATTCACATTTTCAATTTAGCTTCAAAATTCATACACAACAAACACTTATAAAAGTTTCAAATGAGTTTGCAACACTACAATTTCCGAGCAGCTGCACAGACAAGTGAAGGGCACGCACTGAAAAGAAATTTCAAGGTTTAGCCAAACATTAGCAAAGTCATCAAAGCTATTTTCATTTTCAACAACCCAGAAGCGAGCGCACACCTGATGATAAAACCACTGAAATGTTCCACATCCAGTAATGAAGCGCAGCAGCTCGGTACACGTGAGTTTGCTTAATTTTAACACATTTTAAAACCACACAATGTTGAAAGTTGGTTAGCTATCACCACAAAAGCAGGTCTGAGCTAAATGCAGCGTTCAACATGACCTACTTACCTATTGAATTACTTAGAAAATGATATCTATGCTTAGCTGCTAACCATGTTATTGTCAGAAGTGCAGGGTGTATCAGGGCAGGGTAGTGCAGGGAGCAATCACAAATAATTTTAAAAGCACTGAATTGGATTTATACTGTCTTAGAAACATGAAAAATAGAACTAGTTCGTTTTAAATGGATTGCAGTGGTCCAAAGTTCTTCCTCATTTTTAAACACATTTTCAGAAGGCAGAGCGTGATGCCACTACTAACGACCACTAGCATGCTAACAGCTAAAAAATTCATTCTGCCCTTCCAAAAACAAACAATCACGTATATACCATCTTCATACAAAAGCAAGGTGTGGATAACCTGTGTAACTAGTAGGGATCTAACAATAAGCATAATATTGTGATATCGTATCGTCAAAGTTCTCATAATAATATCGTGGACCATCACAATATATCGAATTACAAGTCTCTTTCTTAAATTAAGAGTTATGGTGCAGCAATAACTAAAAAAAGACAGAGGGAACTACATAGACCATGATCCTTTGCTCCATTTAAGTGCAAACTACATAAAGAAATAACAGTTCTAAGCACGTTTAAGTCTTAGTTCTTTGGATTAAATCTTGTCAAGACATTTTAAGAGGAAAAAGTAGCATATTCACAGTTTTGCAAAAAATATTGTACAGTGAGATGTATATCGTGAAAATACTGTACTGAGAGATTTGGATATTGTTACATCCCTAATCATGAGCCTCCCCACCATATCGTAAGCTTTCCCACGATATCGCAATAAATATCGTACCGTGAGGTTCATACCGTGACGATATCGTATTGTGAAACTTGGATATCGTTACACCCCTAGTAACTAGGATGACCAGACATCACGAAAAATTCAATCCAAATTCAACCCTAAATGTCCCGAAAATTACATTCAAACAGAATACTGAGTAGTTACTTTCTGATAAACATTAAAAACTATTCATAGAGAGCCCCTGACGGTTTCTAGACGCTCTGTTCGCAAGGTGCACACTCGCCTCCAAGGAACCATCTGACTGAAGGCGTAGACAGGACGCAGCAGCCACCGCGTTTGGAGTCAAGTGGAGAGCAGCAGGGAGACAGTGAGGTGGAGTATCAGCGACAGGGGACACAACCAAGCCTTCCTCCACATCATGTAGTTTAGCTTACTACATTAAGTCATTTGTCTTTATTGCAGACGTGCCAGGTTCAAGTTCTTTTTTCCATTTTATGTGTACACAAAAATTTATTAAAACTCTATGTTTTTATTAGTTAATGTGATTTTTGTTTGTAAAGAAAAGCAACTTAGAATGCATCAACATTTCTGAGGTTACACTTTGCCCCTCCCTACCCTACCCTGTCCTGAATTTCAGCCAAACTCATCTGGTCCCCCTATGTGTAACCAGTATAGCACTCTGAATTGAGTTCTATGGTGTTGCCATGTTTGTTTTGGCTTCCACACAAACCTCAGTGCCGCTCTGTGATTGGTCTGCCAGCCAGAAGCCGGGCCAAGATGAATTCCAGTGAGTTTGTGAACTTACAAATATTGCAATAATTCATTTTGTTGTGCAAGTGTCTCTCCTGAGGACATAACTGTTTGGTGCTGGGATTAAACCACTAACCTTTGAGTTTGTCAGGCACTGCTGCTGCTAAAATTGACTTTTGCTCTATCTGGAGTCTCCAGAGTGGTGATAGGACTTTCGGCTCCTTTGTAGGACTCAAATCTTTGGATCCAGTCATATCAAAGAGCCGTTCAAAAGACTGGCACTTTTAAGCGTTTATTTATTTATTATTCATGACAGAAGCCAACGTGAGAACTCATTTTAACATCAAACTAATCAAAGAGAAATGACCAATGGTTCAAAATGAGAGTAGGAGTATTTTTACCCTTTGAAGTAATGCATAATCTAAATAAAATGTTGCACTACAAAAAAAAAAAAAGTTAAAATGTCAGATATTCTATTCTTTAAAACATGAGATCCAGATCTAACTGCTCACATAAAAGGAACCATTCAAAAGAGCCAACTCGTTCAGAAACGTCAAATCACTACCCCACAGAGAAGTTTACATTTCACATTGAATTCCCTTCATCTTACAACCAATGCACATGTGCCCATGGACTTTGCTTTGGGCAGGAATCAGTCCACCTATGCTTTAGTGAGAGGGTTTACCAACTACATAACTCTTGTCCCACTGTGTAAAACCCCTCATTCAGTGTAAATAAAAAGTAAACATCTCCACTCACATAAACCACATTGACGTAATCATCGTCTGAAAGCGTCTCCAGCATCTCGCTGACCGAAGTCCGGATAAGCTTGAGCGTCAGACCGGAAACACTGCCGCTCCTGTGAACAAAAGAAATAAATAAAACACAAATAAACAATAAATTAAAATGACTCCTCTCCAAAACACGCCGGCCCTCCCCTTATCCTCCGAGAGTGGGTCGGTAATTACGGCTGCCTGCCCAGGGAAATACATCACATTATGGAGGTGCTGGTGTAATCAGGGGAAATCATGGCGCTATTAGTTTGTTATGGATCAATGGAATTATCAGGATACTCACGCGTCCACCAGGATTAGCATGTCTTTGGGCGAGGCGGCTCCCTGGATGTACCTAGAATGAGAACGACACAATACCTCAGCCACTGGAATGTCAAGTAACTCTACAATGTACTATGGATACAAAATACATTTAACGAAGACATATCATCTGCTATAGGCCTATAGTTATAGTCTATGACACCCGTGAATTTGTGAAAAATATACCATATTTTTTGGACTATAAGGCGCACTTAAAATCCTTTAATTTTCTCAAAAATCAACAGTGCACCTTATGTATTAATTCCGATTGTGCTTACTGACCTCAAACTGATTTTATGTGGTACATGGCACTCAAAAATCTCTCAAAATGTTTTAGTATGACTTTGGTAAGCTACAAATTTGCACTGCTTGATGGATTGTCGCGGAGTTATACACATTCACCAAGACAGGGAGACAATGCTGGGCGAGTTACTCCACGATCTGCCAATGGATGGTGGATGCACGGGCATCCACCATCGAAGGTATCAGCCTCAAGCGTCGTCCAACCTTTCACGAAGGTCGAAATCATCACTGAACAGGTAAGTAACAGCAATGAGACTGACTTGGATAATGTCGAGAGGGATCCAGGCATGCTTGATGCTGAAATCGCCCAACTGTTAAACTCAGACAATGAAGACGAAGAATTTGATCGATTTGTGGAAGAAGAATGAACTGAAAAAAGTGAGTGTATTGTTTTGTATTTTATGTGTTAGAACTGAACAATGTTGAGAGTTATTTTGAATTAGTTGAAGAAAGTTGGACTTATCTGACTGTTTTGTTTTGCTAAATGCACCTTATAATCCAGTGCACCTTGTGTATGAAAATAGACGAGAGAATTCAACATCATTGATATTATGCCTTATAATCTGGTGCACGAATATAGAAAAATACCGTAATTTGGACATTTTAAAGAGGGAGTATAACTTGCCTGACAAACCAGTTCCACTCATCTTTGTAAAGTTTTGTGAAGTTTTGGTTCTGGCTGATGAGGTTATTGCACTTCTATGTGGAATTAATTACAACACTTAATGCCTCAACGCTCAGAGTCTCCTCTCCTTCCCTTCCCTGTTGTTTTTCTTTTGTTTTTCAGTTTTATAACATTGGTAGAACCCAAGCTAATATGTCCAAAACTTATAAACCCAGAATAATTGTAAATCGTTGCATTTTTATATAGCGCTTTTCCAGCTTCAAGGCAACAAGAAACCCATTCACATACAGTGTACGCAGACACTGGGGGTGAGGTGGGTTAAGTGTCTTGCCCAGGGACACGACAGCATTCATCTGCGGGAGCTGGAATCGCACTAACCTGTGGGTCAGTGTATCTGACCACTCAAGCAATGATGTTTATGTCGAGAGCGGCATAATGCATTTACAATAGAATCATATAATTTGCATTGACTCACCAGGGTCTTCTTCTGACGTCGTACAGATCGATCTTGCTGGGTGTTTTGCGGACATCCATCCAAGGAGAGGCTGTGAGAGGAGAGAGAAAGTGTTTAGTACATAAGACAATATTCACACAAATGTACTCTAACCTAGGCCTGTCACAATACCAAATTTTGAGCACTATATATTGCTACAGAGATAATATTTAAACTACTTTATGTCACTGACACTATAACAATAATGAAAGATAATCCTAGTAAACCATTTTTAAATAAACTGCATCATCAAAAAGCCTGAGCTGCACGCAGTGGTGAAAGATCGGAAGCCCACCCGATGACGTGCATGAAAAAAGAGACTAAATCGTGGTATCAAATTTCTATTTTGTTCCCACAATATGTCGTTCGTTCCTACATTTTAGGTAAATCATTCCCATGTTTTAGTCAATTCGTACACATCACTACGGGGTCAGCCTATTGGTCCGAAAGCCCGTTAGTCAAACCATACACAGTAAAGAAGCATGGATGACTTGTAACGTGCTGAGGATAAACCGTTAGTGAATTCGGAGTGTGGGTGGAAGCCACACCAGGGCAGGGAGCCACAAACACCAGAACAAGAAAATCTATGCTGTGTCATTAACAGAGTAGTCCTGGTTCAGTCCTGGTTCAGTCCTGGTTTAGTCCTGGTGTAGTCCTGGCGATCGGCTCAGGGGTTGCAACTTGTATATAGTTATAATCCGCTAATAACATGGCGTAGGTTCAGCCCTGGTTCAGCCATGGTCCAGTCCTGGTGTAGTCCTGGTGATCAGCTCTGCGGTTATGGCATGTATATATTTATAATCCTCTAATGACACGGCGTAGATTTTCTTCTTCTGGTGTTTGTGGCTTCCCGCCCCGGTGTGGCTTCCACACACACTCCGAATTTACAAACAATTTATCCTCAGCATGTTACAAGTCACCCATGCATCTCTACTGTGTGTGGTTAGACTAATGGGCTGTCGGACTATTGGGCTTTTTGAACCTATGGGCTATGGTAATCTTTATGAATTGGCTAAAACATGGGAACAATTTAGCTAAAACGTGGGAATGAATTACTTATTGTGGGAATGAAATAGTAAATTGAGGTCATGATTTAATATCTTTTTTCGTGCACGTCTTCAGGTGGGCTCCCTAGGAAGAAGTACTCAGATACTGGAGAAAAAAATTTGAAGTTTTAGTAGGGTGACCATATTTCCGTTTGTGAAAATCCAGACACCTTACCAGGGATGGAGAGTATGACCTTGACATTGGGCTACTTTCACCTCGCAACCTGTGCACATGGCCTCCAACTTGTTTTTTGTTTCTTGTACAAGTCATTGTTAAATGCACATTTGCGCTTCGGCATGTTGCAGGCTGTCTGACTGTTTGTGTCTGCTGACTCCTTCTCAATTTAATGGCCCCAATGAATGGTAATGAAAACCCTGACATTTCCATCACTTTAAAAAATAAACCCGGACGCCCAAGACAGGACGCAAAAAACAGACATGTCCGGGGAAAAACGGACGTTTGGTCACCCTAGTTTTAGAGTATCTTTTACTTTTACAAAAATATTTAGAAGTACAGATACCTGTCTCAGATGTAATGAAGGGTATGAAGTAATTTTGACGTTTGGTTAGTAGTAGTTAGTTTCTCTAATATAGAGTTTTCAGAAAGTAAAGAATAGTAGTGGAGTAGAAAGTACAGATACCTGCTCTCAGATGTAATGAAGTAAAGGTATGAAGTAATCTACCTAAGCACTGATGCCTAAAATGTATATTTAAGTCCAGTACTTCACTATTTTTACTTTGTTACATTTTACCACTGGCTGCAACAGATAAATGCCAGAATGAACCATTAATGATCCATATTAGAGCCCGACCGATATGGATTTTGCTGTGGCCGATATGAAACCGATATAATGGGAGTTGGAGCTGCCGATAGCCGATATAATCGCCGATATATTTAGTGATGTAAAAATTCACTGTAAATGTTGAATTGTTTAAAAAACTTAGGTTTGGCTCTGGTGGATTTTAAATTGGGTTTATTTAGGCAACATTTATTGTTATTCTGCCTCTTTACATCATATTTACAGACAGTAGTTCGGCTTAATGGCATTTTTGCATCACATTCTAGACACTAGTGATGGGTATTCCAGTTCTTTTTAGAGAACCGGCTCTTTTGGCTCGGCTCACTAAAAGCTGCTGGTTCTTTTGGCTCCCAAGTGGCTCTTCAGATTGTTTTGTTGCAAGCAGGACTAAAGCACGTCTAAAGCAGGACTGAATCAGGACTGAACCAGGTCTAAACCAGGACTGAAAAAGGACTAAACCGGGACTTATTTATTTTATGCTAAACTACAGTCAAATATGCTCGTTTTTTTTTTTTTTTTTTTTAAATCCTACGTACACGCAAATTTCTCAAAGATTCGTTTTGAGCCGCTGCCGCTGTAAAACCACGAATCACGCGGCGTGAAGAGAAAAAAAAGTGAGAAAAAGAGAAAACACGGCTCCCAATAAGGATCAGGCTCCCATCGTTCCCTTCAAAGAGCCGGTTCTAAGAGTCATTTCGTTCGCGACGGACCCATAACTGGTAAAGAAAGTAGCGCTATTAGCCTTTAGCCGTAAATACGTGCGCGCCGCGGTAATTAATTATATGCGCAAATGTCATAATTCACACGTCTATTCACAGCTCATTTACATATCAGTGCAGGTCCAGTAGCAAATATACGGCCAATATAGTCACTTTAGAACAGACCAATAGAAAACAGACTGTTTATGTGCGGGAGCTACAGCAGCTAACCCATAACAAATGACAAAAACTAGCTTCAGAGTCGACATATTTCCAACACTCACCGCTCACACAGGCTCCTCCTCACATCACAAATCTGCACTAATAAATGTCCTTTTAATCCAGACTCAAACCGATTGTCCGTAAAAAGAATATAATCTCAGTGTTTGGATCTGTGTCTGCAGGTGTAAACAAACACACGTGAGTGACGCGACTCTGTGGTGTGTTCAGGGACAGTACGGACACACACAGACAAATGACTCCGTAGATAAATACTGATGTGGAGCCACATATTAGGACATTTATCTGTCTGTAAATTGGATTAAATGAACAGAATGTAGAGAGTCTAAGCTTTATAACGAGGTATAACATGCCCACGTGAAATATCGGCCCCTATCAGCAAGCATATCGGCCGATAGCTGATAATATCGGCCAACCGATATATCGGTCGGGCTCTAATCCATATTATTCAGAACTCTACAGCTCAAATCTTATTGTATTACAACAAAAATACCCCGAATCTCCCCAATTGTACAAATAAATCATACATAAGATAAAAACTGAGCCCAAAATATATTGTTCCAGTTTTCATATATTGAAAGATAAGTCAATATAGTATTAATCGTGACAGGCCTACTCTAATCTCCTTGTTATTCACCAATGTGGAGTACAGGAGAAGATATGAATATCAAATGTACAGTGTCTCCCTGTTTATTCTGGTGACACTCTCGGCACCTCTCTATAACACCCTCATGTGTGAATTCAAGCAGTGTTAGCCTGGCAGCGCGAGGAAGGAAGCATATTTGATGATTGGGTAATATATGTGCATTAACAGGCGTTTAAGAAATGCTGTACACACACATATATATATATATATATATATATATATATATATATATATATATATATATATATATATATATATATATATATATATTTTTTTTTTTTTTTTTTTTTTTTTTTTTTTTTTTTTACCTAGCTTAGTACAGTTTGGTGTATTAGCATTAGGTGAAAAACATGAATGGAGTTCCAGTGGTGCACCAGATGTGGAAGAAGTTTTGTTTTTGTTTCATTCACACATGCTTAACACACATTATTTTTTAATTAGGTTGAGTTCAACTCTCAGATGGACAACACTCTGTTCTACATTGTGATGTCATGTGGTAATACAGGATGTGCTCCACTATGCTTTTAAACTCCATACCCATTTGCTAGAATCATCTGGATGATTTCTGACCTGGGATAGCCAGTTTTTACCATACAAAAAGTAAAAGGGAGCTGTTATTGTGAAAACTACAGCTTCATGCCATCACAAGGTCAAAAAAGATCTCTGAAAAATGGTTTTAAACAACACACATTTTACATATTTTCAGGATTCTGTTATCAATACGAGCATTTGTTGTCTTGTTTAGTGTTTGAATTTCAACAAAAAGGTGAGAGACTTGAGTTAATAGTTTAAGTCATCTTTTGTAGTTCCAAACAGTTCAGCTCTTTCTGGTCAGACTGTTAAAATAAAGCTCAGATTCAAGTCTAACTTGAGTACCAGAGCTTCTAACAGAGTCGTGCTTACAGTTAGCATCACACCCCAGGGAATGTTGATGACATCAGCTGCAGTATCGATTGAGCTGGAGGACAGGGCAGAGCATGGGTGTTGAGTCACAGTAGGTTTTATAAAACTGTCTGTCACCTTACACGACGCACTCTGCCTGTGTCTTTTTCAGTCCTTATTGTACTTGAATTCATTTTTCAGTATAGTTTGTTTGTGCAGAGTTGGGTAGTTGGTAGTTTACAACAAGGTGCTCGCATTAAAGCTGTACTGTGTAACTTTTCTAGAGAGGGTCCACAACCGGTTTGTCACCATGGAGATATTAATGCTTTGGTTTAAATTGTCCACAGTATGGCATTAAAAGGATCTGCATTTGTTCAACTACAGGTGTTATTTATTGCTGAAAAATATCTTAAAACACATTCATTTTTACTGTGAGTGGGGTCGCCTCTTCACACTTCTAACCTGTAATATGGCTTGCAAGTCCCCATGGAGATTCTTACATGTATGGCCATAATGTGGAACTTTCTGGATGTTTCGCATTATTGGCATCTCCATGAAAACAAATAGGTGACTCTCTCTTCACTCCAACTCTTCACTGGACAAGTTACACAGTGAAACTTTAAATAGATTACTACTGCACGCAATAATTAGAATATTTATTTTCTAACCTTCATAGTCTGCACCATGCATATTTTCCTTTTGAAGATGTTCTTGTAAAGTTGCTGTTTCACAACGTGTATTATATTTATGCCATCGATGCTGAAAAATTCAAATTCAGACCTAATCTGAGTGATACGTAATTACAGCTTCTGGATGCACATATGATATTGCTGGTGTAGATGGTCTGACTGGTTTTAATGCTGTATGTGTGTTGCGTGTGCTGCCTGTGCTGTCTGTGCGTGTGTTGCGTGTGCGTGTGCTGCGCTTGGGTGACCAGATGTCCCTATTTACTATGTCCCTATTTTTGAGCCCTGTGTCCCCTGTCCCAGTGGATTTATTCAAAACAATTGATTTGTCCCAGTTTTAAACAAGAAATGTTCCAGATGTCCTTGTTTTTGACCAATCTGATACCTGCCAACACTCAAGAGGCATTAAATGTTATTTGTTTAGGTAAAGGTGAATAAGTCATGAATAGGCCAGGGGCATAGCAACACTTTCTTTAATTATGCACTTGTTTCACAATTTTATTTTTACCAACCACCCCAAACTGGGAGTGTCTCATTTTTTGATTCTGGAAATCTGGTCACTCTAGCTTACACGCTGTTACTGCTTTGGGATAAATTGGGGATTAGGTAAGTGAGGAATAACTTTGGACAACTTAAAATGAACTAGATCACTTTTTCACGTTTTTAAGACAGTAAGAATCTGATGCAGTGCCTTTAATAACAATACAGTAGTACTCAATAACTCATCACAGTAACAAAAACTTGCAGATTTATTCATGACTTGGCAAATGTCTTGAATACATTGTCGTGTATTGATTTAATATGGTGTGGGCAGATAGGGCTGTGCTGCTTCTAACAACCCCAGAGCAGAGTTCTTTAGGCTGGGCTATTTCTATTCATGAGGCTCTGTCATCACCACATCATGGAGCTTTATGGAGCTAGCTAACATAGTGTATTCATGATTAGCTTTATACTTGTGAGTTATTGTCATTGCGTTGTTGTTTGTCCTCTAAATATTCAGAAGTGCAGTGTACTGCTTAAGTTTAGAGTTGTCAGCATTTTGGAGAAGGCACAGGAGCAGCTGAACAAATCCCAGCCACAGACTTCTGATATTTTATTTTTCTGTTGTGAGCCATAATTGAAATGAAAACAGACTGGCTTTCAGTAAATGCTAATGAAGACTAGCATGCTAACCAGGCACTCTCTGATTTTCAGGCAATAAAAGTTTTTATTATCAGATTTAGACAGTACACAGTTAACTTATTTTAGCCTCAAGAACTGTTTATTATATACACATTTTGCTCAAATACATGAAAGAAAAAATCAGGTAAAGAGCCACTATGTAAAAAACTTTTAAAACATGTTTGTTTGCTGGAGCGCTTGCCTTTCTATCTCCATGGAGAAAGTTAGTTGTGTGTGTGTGTGTGTGTGTGGTGTAATTCAGGGCAAAGACTTCCTTTTTTCATTTTTCTTTTCATTTTAAGACCATCTTGGCCTGTTATATTTCTACACCAAATAATCCAGAGTAGGATTCTATGAATAAAACAACAAAACACAGTTACACCCAGTCATGTTTTCTAACCAGCCTCACACGTTACTCTCCTGTGAGCGGGTGGTTGTTGGTGGACATGTTAAATTGTCTTGGATATACATAACTTAACATATTTTGAGTTGAATGCACATTTTTCCATTAAATTGCACTATATAGCACAAACATTCTGAGATGGGTTTAAGTATTAGTTCGAATATATCAATTTTTTTTCCCGATACCAATACTTGGCCATAGTGTCCTCAAAACTTATACAAGTCTGGTACCGCATAGTGTCAAGAAGCAGACTAACTCCCAATTTACACCAAAGCAGTAACAGCGTGTAAGTGCAGCAGCACAGCATACCCACAGGTATCGCTTTTTATTTTAACAGGTCATACAGTCGACTCCAGCAGTGTCATACATGCATCCAACGGGCATCATTACACTACGTGTCATTCAAATTAGGTTAGAGTTCTAATTTTACAGAGTCAAGGGTTAGGGTCTCCAAGATTTTTAGCAAGACAGGAAATAAGCACAGGGTTCAAAACTAAGCTTCCGATGCCATATCAAAAGATGTTCTTTAACGAGCTCTACAGTCGCCTAGACAATGTGCAGCACACAAATAAATTAGATTTTAAGACTAAAGTTTTTTTTGTTTTTTTTTGTATGTTTTTTTATTTATAAAGAATTATTTTGGTAAGTTTAGTATCCACACCATGGGCTACATGAAGGTATCAAAGAGGTAAAACAACGGTGTTTTCTTTCATTATTAGCATGTTTTGTGTCTGCAGAGCCTCCATCCATCTACTGGTCCTCATAAAATACGTAGTGGTATCACAGCGGTGATTTGATTTGAGTACTATGGATCCTTTTTTGTTATTCCCCAAATCATACTTTATCACTTTTAAGGTGTGGCAGTGCAATCATACTTTATTTGTTTTATTTTTTTTATTGCATTGTAAAATTTAGAAAAGCATCTGTCCTTTTTGTGTGTGGGCTTGCACCTCCACGAACCTGACTCTTATTTGACCTGGAGTAGGGTCTCCTCCTGCTTGTTTCTGTAGAAATGTTCCTTTGACAATAATATTCCACAACATGGCATAACATTAATTTATCTCTATGGAGAATGTTCTGAAGTATCGTTTTAACTTTTTATTTCCATGGAATTTCACCTCAGGTAATACTGGATCACCTTGTGGGTGAATTTTCCATTGCACAGCCGCACCAAGGACACCGTCAGCTCGCTCCTTGTTGACATTTGTTTGTGGATTACTGTATCTATGACCTTATCAGAGGTTATAATACTCCCTACAATGGAAGCATAAACAGACCTGAATTGACAGTAGTGATATAGTTCCGACCTACAAAAGCTATCCCTTCTCTGTATCGAACAGTTTGAAGAACCCATATTATGTTGTTTTCTGATCTCTACTGAACTAAATGTAAAAGGAGCTGTTTACTTGAAAACTACTACTATATGACATCACAAGGTGGAACGGAGCATTTTGAGATTTAGAGATGTAGCCAGACTAATAATAAAGGGTTACTCAAACGTGTAAATGAAACAAAACACAACTCCAACTGATTTTGATGAGGTAACAACATTCTGACATGGCTTAAAGCTCACAAGCGTCAACCTTGCCCTTTAAGGTGCACAAAGGATCTTTTATAGCATTAGAATGTATGATTTTTTTGTACCTGGGTAGTATCGTGCCAGTCCTGTAGCACTTCCAAACACCTGCCACAGTAGTGTTGGGTCCTTCTCTCGGTTTTTCCTGAACACAACCTCCAGGCGTTCAGTCCATTTGAGCTCATTCAGCACGATGGTGGCTGTGAATACAAGACACACACAACAGCATACTTTAATCATTATAAGATCAAATACGTGTTAAGAAATGATGTTATATTTTTGAATTATTGCAAGTAAGTGCAGAGAGTGGTGGGGTTAATTGAAGACTGCAATTTTCTGAGCACCCAAGTATCAATACACGATTACTCAAACATACATGAATCAATCAAACATACAATTTGAAGTAAACTGTTGATGAGTTCATAAGCATGTTTAAAAACTTTCAGAGATTATCAGACAAGAAAATGCCTTAAATGCAGTACACAGCAGACTTATTTTGGCTTGCAGAGCTGCTTATACAACATCCCTGTACTTTGGCAAGACATATTTTGCTCAACTATATGGAAGAAAATTGGCTCTTTAACCACTGTCACTGCTTTCCTAACCTAAACCCTAACCTTAAAGGTACATTGTGTAACTTTTCGAGTAAAGGGTCTGCCCGCTTGTCTCCGTGGAGATCGTATTAATTTGCCTGAATTGTGGCATTAAACTTATTCATCTTCCATTCATTCAGTTATGGGTCTTTTTATTGGTTTAAGAACATGCACGTCTACAGTCAACGAACCATTCCCTGCACAGATCTGCCCTGTCTAGTGACATCTCCTGTTTGTTTCCATGGAGATAGTTAAGTTTAATACCATACTGTGAAACATTCCAAGCAAAATAAAAACATCATCATGGAGACAATGTAGGCAGACCAGCAGAAAAGTTAGATAGTGCACCTTTAACCTATTTTAACCCATGATGTGTGCACAGATTTAACATCGACCCACACAATACATCCCTAACAATTACCCAGCATTCTGTTTGTTTGCACTTGGAAAATCCTCTAATTATCTCCCTAAGCATCCTTCTCCAGTTGAGTATTGCAATCACTCCATTTCAAATACAGTTACGACGCCATTCTGTAATCTACGGCATATGCTCTTGTCATTAAGCGTCTCAAATGGCTCACTTATCTGCACGCTTTAATATCTGCCGTGTGGCGTTGTGTGTGTGATGGATCGTGTGTGCACCGGGAGGCTACACACTGTTATTGATGTAATGACAGAGGAGATAGACAGACACAGCGAGCCCACACATCTCTACACATGATGGAGAGGCGAACGCATCACCAATCTCAAGTCTGAAGTAGTGGAGCTAGCAGGGCCGGTATGAGCTTTGAGAGGCCGATGGGACCACATACATGAGTGGGGCTCTAAAAAATGAACATTAGACTGATCTGGTAGAAAAATGTGTTATGTTTTTTTTTATTAGTGCGACAGTAAAGACAAAGCTCTCGATTTACCAGTCAATGTACATTCCTCCCCTCACCTGATCTTGAGCTTTGGGTAAAAAAAAAAACTAAGGATAACATTGCAGATACAAGTGGTCGAAATGAGTTTCCTACACAGAGAGACTGGGTCACACAGGAGGAGCTCGGAGTATGTATCAATGTAGAGAGCAGCAGCTGAGTTGTTCCAGGCATGTCCCACCAGGAGGAGGCCTGGGAAAGACCCAGGACACACTGTAGGGACTCCCTCTGGTCTGGGAACGACTTGGGGTGCCCTTGGAAGAGGTGGGAGAAGTGTGTGTGGAAAGGGAAGTCTGGGCATTCCTGCTCAGCCTGTGACCCAGCCCCTGATAAATGGATGGATAGGGCGACAGTAGCGCAGTTGGTAGAGTGGCATCAAAAAGCTGGCGGTTCGAATCTTACTCTCAACATAACTATCACTGGTAGAGCAGTCAGATCCATTAACCTACAAGCTGATAGTTCAATTCCAGTTCCCACAGATGAATGCTGTTTTGTCCTTGAGCAAGACACTTAACCCTGCATGCTGCCATTAGGCCAGTTAATAAGCAGCAATAACGTGTCCTACCACAATTATGCAGATGACACTCAGATCTGTGTCTCTCTGGCAGCAGGAGACTATGGACCAGTGGACTCACTTGGTCACTGCATCCAACATATCAGTGTGTGGATGCAAAACAACTTTCTCCAGCTAAACTCTGACAAGACTGAAGTCATAGTGTTTGGTCCACAGAAACAAAGGGACAGTGTCAGCAGTCACCTCCAGTCTCTCTCTCTAAAACCTTCAAATCAGGCAAGAAATCTAGGGGTAATAATGGACTCAGACTTGAACTTTAACAGCCACATCAAATCAATAACATCTGCAGCCTTTTACCATTTAAAAAAAAATAGCAAAAATCAAAGGTTTACTGTCTAAAGCAGACTTGGAGAAACTTATCCATGTGTTTGTCTCCAGTAGGTTAGACTACTGTAATGGTTTGCTCACTGGTCTCTCCAAATGAGCTGTGAGACGCTGCAGAACATCCAGAACACTGCAGCTCGGGTCCTTACTCGAACTAGGAAGTACGAGCACATAAGTCCTGTGCTCAGGTCTCTGCACTGGCTTCCTGTGCCTCAGAGAATAGACTTGAAAGCAGCTCTGCTTGTGTACAAGTCTCTCCATGGCCGAGCACCAAAGTACATCTGTGACATGTTAGTGTCATATGAACCATCTCGCACTCTGAGGAGCTCAGGGACCATCCTCCTGCTGGTGCCCAGAGTCAGGACTAAACAAGGGGAGTCAGCGTTTCAGGTTCATGCAGCTAAAACCTGGAACAGTCTGAACATGTGAGACAGACTCTTCTGTGACGCTGTTTAAATCCAGGCTCAAAACATTTCTGTTTAACTGTGCATATAACTGAAAGGTTTTCATTCTCTCCAATTTATGTCTCTCTTTTTTAATTTTAATCTTCATGATTATTTATGTTTTGATTTGTTTTTATTATGATTTTAATGTATTTCTTATTCTGTAAAGCACTTTGAATTACTTTGTGTACGAATTGTGCTATACAAATAAATTTCCCTTGCCTTGCCTTGCCTTAACCCAACTTGCCCCTTGTGTCTGCGTACACTGGTATGTGAATGACTGAATGGTTCCTTGTTGGAAAGCACTTTTTCTACCTTTTTTGAAGGTGGAAAAATGCTATATAAAAATGTGACCATTTTATTTATTTTACTTATTAGGTAGATCACACATAACACATTTCTTTAGAATTCTTTTTTCCAATGGTTTAAAAGAGCACATATTATGTGGGACTTTCTGAGCCTTTTAAAAAGTGCAAATTAAATTAATGTGATATTTTTAATGAAAAGCGCTCAAGATAAAATGTCTAAAGATGACCGTTGTGGACACAATCCACAATTTTTCTAGCCACGGTTAAAGAACTATGTTAAAGTAAACAAAAATCAGAGGAACAAACCAATAAACTGCTGGCTCCCTACTCTTAAATAGGGTTGTCAAAAGTATTGAACAAGAAATACAAATAGATACTAAAACTAGTATCGAAACTGGATACAAATTTTAGCAGATATTGACATAGATACATTCACAAGACAGAAATTAACCTGAGCTGTATCCAAACAAATATAAGACAGAACTATCTAGGTGGCTGAAGGATTGCACAGGTATAAGACCATATGGTAATATGAAAGAAAGTACTATAATTTAATGCATATAGATCATCACGGTATGAAGTATCGAGTCTATTCCTTAGTAATGAAATTGAGTTTGGCATTAAAGTATCATAACAACACTGCATAGGACTATTATTTTGTACTGTTACACTAAATATAGTATATCATTTGTTTGAGAGGAGGACCAATGTGAAACACTGAAATGATTCCAAAATACCAGTTAAGAATGAAGAAGAAAGCCTATAGTAAAAGAGGGTGAGATAGATTGGAGAGTACTATTGACTGCAGCAGGACCATTGATGTGCAGAGCAAACACAGTTCATTTGCATGGGATCCTCTGGAGAGCCCACTTAATGAAGGCTCAGAACAGGAGGCCAGAGCTTTTTCCATGTGTGAAGGAACGCAGTGGAAGATTTGGCAAGGCTACAGGAAGAATTTTAACAGGAACCACACTAAGTACCACAAGATTCTATAATGAAATATCTATGGTGTGCCTTGCAAGACATGAACATCTGTGCTCACTTTTACCTTTCAAATTGAATTAGTATTTGAATGTTATTAGGTAAAATTGTCAGGAGAATTGTTGCAGTGGTAAATTTGGTAAATGTATTATTAAATTAGATGTAAAATTGAATGTATTATTAGATTACGATCATTAATAATAAGTTTCCATACCTATTTTAAGTCACCTTCTTGAAATTAAGTTACAATTTTACAATTTTACTTCTAATAAAAAATGCATTAATTGGAAGTAATCTGATTGCATACAACTCTAATGATATTTTAAATTTCTAGAATTGACACATCACCTACATGATTCACAAAAAAAAAAAAGAAAGGAAAGAAAGAAAGTTAAATTGATACACTGGAACACTCTCGATTGATAAATTATAGCCAAATGAGCAATATTACCATGGAAACAAGCAGGAGATGGCCCGTCTACAAGACAATAAAGAGTCGGGTTTGCGGAGATGCAAGGCCATTCACAACTTGTTTTGTTAGTGCAGTAATAATGAAATAACCATGGTTTTGTTTTAGTCTTTTTTGGCGAAGAAGTTACACACTGGGGCTTTCAATAAATAAAAATATTACATTACAAGAATTTACATTAGCTTATAGCAAACAAGTAATGATAATATTGGGAATTTTGGTAACTTTTATGACACTGATGAACCCAACCTCTTAAAAAACAAGGTCGCTCAATTTCTCTAAGTTCTAGACGTCAATGGATGAAATGTCATTTTCAGCTCACTAGTCACAAGCACTTCTCAGTTGTGATGATATGTGATAATCAGAACACACGGGGGACCCTGGATCCTCTCGTCGACCATATTGGCTCTGACTCTAACGAATTCTGCAGCTGGATGTGGCACTGCTTTGATGCCAAACTGAATTTACAGCGGGCCATGGCTTCATCTCCACAGGATATCAGGGAAATGTATAAATCACCACAGACAAGCTTTTATCACAGGTCTCACAAGTCAATGGCATATGTCTGTGGGCTGAGTACTGGGCTGC